TGCGGCCCCTGCACCCGCCCCACCACTCTAACACACACAAATGGAATTTGTTCCCTCGCAGTCAAAGTGGGTTCTGGTCTCCCTCTCTCTCTCTCTGTTGCTTTTCCCAGGTACATGGTTCAGTGGCCAGGCAGCAGGATCCTGCACAGACACGAACTGGACGCCTTCCTGGCCCAGGCCGTCTCCTCCAAACTGTACGAGCCCGATCAGCTTCAGGAACTGAAGGTACGTCTGGAAACACAATTTCTCCCTCCATTTCCCCATCAAACCGCTGCACTGTCTTGAAAGATCCCTGTCAGTTCCAGCTCTGACAGGGAGGTGCCCTGTTTTCTGGAGTCTTGCTGTGCAGCACGTGGCTTAGGATCTGTAAGGTGCTTTTGATTTTTTTTCTCTCGCTCTACCAGAAATCCTATAAATGGCAGAGCGTTCGTAGTTGTGCTGTCTCCCTCGCATGCGCACGCGCACACACACCATGTCGGGCCTGGGAATGGAGTGGGGGGGCGGGGGGAGGTGGCAGGACAGCGAGCGGAGGTTCAGTCGATGTGTCTAACCCGTCTTTCCAACACCCCCCCACCTTTCTGTTTAATTCTGCCTCTGGAAGATCGATAAGCTAGATGCCCGTGGGATCCAGCTGGCAGCCCTCTTTATGAGTGGCGTAGACACTGCCCTCTTCGCCAATGATGCCTGTGGCCAGCCCATCCCATGGGACCACTGCTGCCCTTGGATTTACTTTGATGGCAAACTCCTGCACAGCAAGTTTGTCCAGGCCACCAGGGAGAAAGCGCCCCTCATCGACCTCTGCGATGGTCAGGTATGTGTCTGTCTGTCTGTCTGTCTGCGTTCAGCGGTGGCAAACGTGGCCGCCCACGCTTTTTCTGCCAGTTCCAGCCCCATGGGCCGGTCCTATGTAAACGTGTCACGCTGCAGTTACACCTCCCAGCCAGTGAGGGCGCTGTGGCGCCTCACGTTCTCAGCTCCCCAGGCCGCCATGGTCTGCGTGCTCCAGGTGACAGGATTGGAGGACGTTGGTATGTGTGTGTGTGGGGTGGGGAGGTGGGTGAGTTAGGTCACAGCAAAGACCTAAAGCAGGAGGGGGTGGGGTCTGTCTACCCCAGCTGAGGGCTGGGTGTGTTTCGGGAGGGCTCTTCCGGGGGTGGGGGGCGGGGGGCAGGCATGTGTTACTCACCACTGAGGTGCTCTCTGTCTCCTGCCCGGTCCCAGCCAAAGCAGCATGCAGTCAGTGCCCGGGGGCGGGGGGAGCGGGGGAGGTGGGTGGCGCACAGGATGGCAGCAGGGTGGGGACAGAGTTCTGAGGTCGTGCTCGGTTGCACCTCTCTCTCTGCCCCCATAGACTCCCCCCCCCCCACCACCCAACCCCGACCCCTCAAGCGCTATCAGCCGTGCTGCAGGTCAAATCTCATTAGTCTTCTCTTCATCTCTCCCTCCCTTTTTTTTTTCCCTTCCATCTCTCCTTCGCCCTTCCTTGCTCTCCCCCGACCCCACCCCCTGCCACCATCTCTCCTGCTCCTCCCCCCGCCCCATCTCCCGTTTCTCTTCCCTCTCCTCCCCGCACATCCCCACCACCTCCCCCCTCCCCACACAACCTGCCTGTCCACCAACACCCTCTCCCCACCTACCCCCCTCCTCTCTCTGCACGCCACCCCCTCCCCTCCCTGCACTGCACGCCCCCACCCCCCGCCCAGGCTGACCAGGTAGCGAAGGTGGAGAGGATGCGACAGAGTATTCTGGAGGGGCTCTCCCTGAGCCGACAGTCGGTGATGCCCCACCCCATGGCGCTGCCCGGCTTCATGCCCCCGATGATGGCACCGTTGTACCCCATGCGCATGTACGGCCGGCCCTTCGACCCAGTGCCCCACCCCCCAGGGCGGGGCAGGAGTCTGTCTGGTGAGTGGTGGCGGTGGTCGGAGGGCGTGTGTCTGCCTGTGATTGGGGGGGGGGGGGGGGGGGGGGGCAGAAGAGGGGGCAACGGGAGCTGGTATCCACTGGGGGGGTGGGGGGGCGCGCGGTAAACGGGTAAGGGTCACTGTCCTACCTGCTGTTTGTGGGGATGGTTAGTGTCTGAACATCACAAACCACCGTCCCCAACCCCCACCACATTGAACCTCCTGGTACCGAGGTCTGATTCCTCTCCACCTTTCAGGTTGGATTCTTCCCCACTTCCTCACCACCCCCCTCCCCCCCGCCACCACTACGTCTGCGCACACTCCCTCACTCTCTCACTACCGCCCCTCAAAATACTGACCCACACACAGACATATACACAACGCCAGACCCCCTTCATCGTCCCTCTGTGGGTCAGGGCGATATTTGGGACTGGGGATGGGGGGTCGGATGGTGTGGTGACCCACTCTGAGAGGAGGGGGCATGGATTGGTTTTGGGTGGGGGTGCGGGTGGTGGTGTGTCTATTACTGCAGGCCATTGTGGTGACCTCTGACCCCCGACCTCCTGCAGCTATGCAGCAGATTGCCCACCAGGGGGGTAAGCTGGAGATCGCTGGCATGGTGGTGGGCCAGTGGGCGGGGAGCAGACCAGACCGTGGGCGTGGATCGCTCAATCTCCAGGTCGTCTCGGTCGGAGGGCACGGCAGAGGGTGAGTGCCAGCTCTGTCTGCAGGTCACCGCCCATGCAAGACCCCGACCTGCTTCTCTCTCTCTCCCTCTCTCTCGCTCTGTCTCTGTGTGTGTGTCTCTGTCTCTGTGTGTCTGTGTCTCTGTCTTCTCTCTTCCCCGCCCCCCCATCTGTTTGTTTTTTTTTCTCTCTCTCTCCCCCCCCCCCCCCCACCCCGTGTGTCTCTGTCATGTCCGTGTCTCTGTCCGTCTCTGTCCTCTGCCCATTTTTTGCCCTCTAACCAGAGGGGTGAAGGATCGAGGGAGAATGGGGTAGAGTGCCAGTGGGGGAGCTGGGCAGAGTGCCATTGGGGGAGACGGATCGTGGGGAGCTGGGCAGAGTGCCAGTGGGGGAGACGGATCATGGGGAGCTGGGCAGAGTGCCAGTGGGGGGAGACGGATCGTGGGGGAACCGCTTAGTGAACTGAATGGCCTCCCTTTTGTTCTGCAGTCTGATCGCCATCTTGACAATTGGCCAACAGCTGGGGACCTGTGTGTGTGTGTGTG